GGGAAACTCCTTTTGCCTTGGCATATGGCATGGAGGCGGTCATCCCTTTGGAAGTTGGTATGCCCACCCTCAGAAGTGAAAGTTTTGAGCCCGAGCTGAACGCTGAAGCCATTGCCCTGGAATTGGACCTAGTGGAAGAACGCCGGGAAAAGGCTCTCATCCATGTGGCCACCTACCAACAAGAGCTTTCAAGAAAATACAACAAAATGGTGCAACCCAGACCGTTCAAAGTGGGTGACTGGGTCTTGAGGAAGGTCATGGGCAATACCCTGGTGCCAGGTAAAGGCAAACTAGGGGCAAATTGGGAAGGACCCTACAAGATCACCGGTCTAGCGGGCAAGGAGGCACACCACTTGGAGGACCTGGAGGGAAGAGGAATACCCGGCCATGGAATGCGGCCAACCTCAAATTGTACTATTTTTAGCTTTTGTTTGCTTTTTGTGCAAATGAATTTTTTTCCTTACACTTCAGAATGTAATATTCTTTTAGTCAATATATAGAAGTGTCTCATCTTTGCCTTAGCATTTTGATTATTGCTTTTTAATTTTGAGATTCTCAACCGAGATGTTTTACTCCGATTGAAAGAGTTGGTGTTTTGCTCAACTCTGAGATTTCAACCGAGATGTTTTACTCCGGTTAAAAGAGTTGATGTTTGGCCCAACTTTGAGATTTCGACCGAGATGTTTTACTCCGGTTGAAAGAGTTGGTGTTTTGCTCAACTTTGAGATTTAAACTAAGATGTTTTACTCCGGTTGAACGAGTTGATGTTTTGCTCAACTTTGAAATTAAAATCGAGTTGTTTTACTCCGGTTGAACGAGTTGATGTTTTGCTCAACTTTGAGATTCTCAACCGAGATGTTTTACTTCGGTTGAGTGAGTTGATGTCTTGCTCAACTTTGAGATTCTCAACTGAGATGTTTATTCCGGTTGAATGAGTGGATGTTTTGCTCAACTTAGAGATTCTCAACCAAGATGTTTACTCCGGTTGAATGAGTTTATGTTTTGCTCAATTTTGAGATTTCAACCGAGATGCTTTATTCCGGTTGACTAGGTTAATTATTTATTCAACTTTCATGGAGCTTTATTTCGGCTGGCTGAGTTGATGATTTGCTCAACTTTTATATTTAAACCAAGATGTATTGTTCCGGTTAAAACAGTTGATGATTTACTCAACTTTATGCTTGAAACCGAGATGTCTTTTCCTGTTAAATAAGTTAAACAAGATGATTAGCTCGGCTGAGGTATTTTTCGGCTGAAGTTATTTAGCTTGAAGACCGTGCAAACACTTGATGGAAATTGAACATTTTCATTGATGTGCAAAATAACTACAAGAGGAGAGGCAGATAGCCCGATTACATGTTCAGACACAAAAAGAAAGTAGACAAAAGAAAACTAAGCTAGGGGGAAAGGTCAGTGAATTCATCCCCGCTTGCCTCCAGGTTGACCATTGGTGTTTGGTCTTGGACACCGGTCTCCGTTTGGCCGGGCTGCTCTTGGCGGTTCTCTTCCTTAGCATTTTCCTCAATCTCTTCTGCGCCTTCTTCCTCGGCTTCAGCCTGTAACACGCTGAAGACGTTGTTGGCAGGAAGACAGCTGGCGGAGAGGCAAATACGTCGATCCCAGGTCCTTGGCCGAGCTGTTCACAAGCAGTTTTCCAGCCCGCCTTAAAGTAGTTGTCTTGGGTGGCATGGACCTGCTTTGTGTAGCTCACTTTGGCCTCCTTGAAGCCGGCATTATTGGCATCCTCTAGCTCCTTCTCCCGTGATTGTTTCAGCACATCAATCTCAGCTCGGAGCGCGTCTCTCTCTGTCTCAGCAGAGCCAAGCTAGCCGAGCAGCCGGGTGTTGTCAGTAATGGCTATTTGCAGTGAAGATTGGGCTCTCCAGAGCTCAGCTTGGAGGCTTTGAACTTGGCTGGCAGAGTCAGTTACCTTCTGCTAGAGCCGGTGAATGCGCTCTATGACCAAGTGCTGCTTCTGGATGGCCCGCAAGAAGAAAGTTTGATTAGAAACCGAGCAAACATTTGTGAAATTTGAATAAAAAGTTTGAGATTCTTACCCTGGTCATGGACTTGACCGAGGATTTCACCAACCGGGTGTTTGGCACATGGTCGCTGCCGACCACGTCGCTCAGTAGGAGGAGGGCTTTGTTGAGCTCAAAGGTGAGCAGATGTTCCTTGTCGCCTTTAACAGAAGCTGTCGCCGGGATGTCTTTACCCTGGTGCTTGAGTTAAGGCCTCCACGGAGGAGTTGGGTCAGTTATCACGGCAGGTTGCTCAGTGTTGAGCTCCGTAACAAGCTCGGCTGAAGGGTCTACACGTGGCCTTTTGCCTGCCCGGCGGGTGTCTTGGCTGGATTGCCCGGCGGCGGGAGACGCTAATGTAACCATGGTTTCTCGAGATTGCCTGGCAGCAGGAGAGCGGGTTGTGACGCTCGGTATCTCGGTGGAGGTGGCGGTGATCAGGTTCTTGATGCGGCTTCTCTTGGCCATCTCTTCTGCTTCGGTCAGACAGATGAATGGAACGTTAAGAAGTGTAGGATCTGGAGGCGGAGATGGAGTGCGAAGAAAGTCTGTGACCTTACTCCGGCGTGGAGCAGAATACCGGTATGTTGGTGTGTAACCGAGGAGGTCGTGGCAGTCCCGGTTGTGGTAACGGAGCACGGTCCTGATGGCTGCTTCGTTGGGGTAGTGATAGTTGGCTTGCAGGGCTTCGATCGCTGCGAAGGAAAGAAGAAAAATGTAAGTATAGAATAGTGAAGAAAGGCAATCGACCGAGCAAGTTAGCACGGCTTATATGTGGAACCGAAGTTCTTGCTAATGAACCAGCCCGGTACGTTGGCTGTTTTATAGTTGCCGAACACCCAGAAGAAGTCGTCGTCGTGCAAGTCCTTATTTGGGGTGCCGGTCACTATCTTTTCTTTGCCCGGTCTAATCTTTAAGTAATAGGCGAGGCCACCGCTTGTGTGCCCAAGGATATATTGGCGGAGTATCTCGGCTAAACCTAAGTTGGTTCCAAGCTGGTTGTTCAACTCGTGGATCCCGCTGATTATTCGGTATGTGTTTGTTAAGACTTGTGTGGGTGTTAGCCCGGTGCGACACAAGAATTCGGTCATCAATGGGTTGACCGGGAAACGAAGGCCTCCTTCAATGATGGATAGCACGGTGAAGGGGCATTGGTCTAATCTGCCCCAAGGGTTGATGTCTAAGGCGCCGAGCTCTAATTGAACGTCAGCCGGGATACCATACTCTTCCCGGAATACAGCCAAGGCGGCCGGAGTGTCAACAAGGAAGCGGTAGCGCCCCATGTGTTGCCGGCTGGTTTAGCTCGACTGAGGTGGTTTGGCACAGACTAGTGTTTAATGGCTACTCGGTCTTTGAGAGCCTCGGTATTTGGTCTGTGGTCCCCTTGGACTCTGCAGGAAAATGATGGCAAGTGTAAGTGGAAGCGCAGTCGCTCAAAATGAGCTTGACTTTAGCTCGGTCATGAAGAGTGCCAGACCACCTCGGACGCAAAGGTAAACCAAGGAGCTCGGTCGCTCAAACGGACCAGATGTTAGCCCGGTCGAGCGGCCTAGTCCTCTGTCTACTTCGGTTTCTACTAAGGTTTTGGCAAACTTGTAAGTTGCTTGGTCTTAATGTTATTTGGGATCAAAATAAGACCTGGAGCCCGGTCCGCTTCAAATCTTCATGTGTTCATGTGTTCATCACTGGGATTGAAGAACAGCGAAGAGAGTAGGGGCAAGTAAGGGTTTTTGGAGGAGTATATCCTAAAACCTACGAATTTTGTGCCCTAGAATGTGTAATACCAAGTGAAAATAGCAAAAAGGGGCCCGAAGGACTTACCAGTTAAGGGTAGAAGCTTCTCCTTCGGACACGAACTCAAGAATGACAAGAAATGAAGGGTGCGGGAGCTCTGGAATGTCGATAGCTTAAGGAGAGTCAGTAAGATTGAAAAGAAGTGAGATATGGCATGTTTATAGAGGTGAAAAGGCCGCCCAAATTTGAATGTGAAGGGACGTGATGGTTGGCTGCTCGAGGCCAATCCAGGCACGACACGTATCCCTATTGACAGCGGCGTCAGTACTGAAGAGACAGGATGGCAAATCGAGGTGTCGACCGGGCAAGTTTTGAAGACATGCATGTCAACTAGCCCGGTCACCGTCTTGTAAACTGAGGATCGAGGAAGGGTTACCCCGGTCAGAACAGGTAATCCCAGTCACGCTTGCGCGGACAGAATTAAGGGGCAATTGAGAAGGAAATTTATGAGCTGGATTGGGCCGTGGTAATGACCGGGCAGATTATGGGCCAAACATGTTGTGGGCCGTGGTAGCTTGGGCTTAGCCGGAGAGGGTTGTGCTCGGTAATGGCCCAGGATCATGCTAGGTCCGAGCTACTTGGCTTGTTCATGTGGGAACCGAGCTAATTGGGTAATTTGGCCGAGATAATGAAAGTCGGTCCTGTTCCCATGGTTCGCGCTTCCAGCCCAGCTGGAAAGGTCTTCGGTTTACCAGCTCGACCAGTTTTCATCTCGGCTATGCCGGAATGCAACCGAGCTCGGTCGTCGTTGAGCTCGGCGAGCGGAGCGCTCTAGCTTGTGCGACTCGGCCGTTGGCAGCCAAGATGATGCAGCCCGGTTGCCGAGATCCCGGTAGTGTGGGCTGGCAGTTTTGGTTAGGTGATGATCAGCTAGATTTATGCTGACAGATGGGATAGCAACACCACGTGTCGAGAGACTAATGTGAGTAGATTTGGGGCGTAGAAGGTATATATGCGAGTCTGCGCCCCCCATGCCACAGATGAACATTTGGTGAGATATACACTTACACTCAACTGTCTCCTCTCTATCTATCCCTGTGTATGTGTGCTAACTTGATCGTCGGAGGGGTTTTCCGGCCACACACCACCGGGTAGCTCACCGCCGTTGTGCTCGCAGGTCGATCAGACAAACAGGAGCTTGGAAGAAAGGAGTACGGGCTTGCCTGAATATTTGCTCCCCGTACAATGGGTAAGAAACTAAATGTCACCGTATCTCGGAAAACTATCAATTCGTCTCGGTGCAGTTGGAACTACTTGTCTTGTCCTGTAACAAGAATTAAATATATTTTTGTTTGTGTCTGGTGGACACGTGTGTGTTAAATCTTGTACTCATACCAATATACCTGTATACTGACCTGTTTTGTCTCTTGACAACTCGGGTGTGTTCTGTTTGAGCGCAGTCAAGCTTCCTTTGCAGAATTAGTTGAGGTTATGGTAGTGATAAGAAATAACTATGATCGTAGGACATGTCGTTTAGACTTCTTTTATTTTCCTGAACTTAGGGTTGATATTAGTTTATGTATTTATTATTTTTTTTATGACCTTGGTATTTGATAATTTGACATGATTTGTAACGTACATTATTTAAGTTATTTTGACTACGTATTGTTACTTTAATGTTAGTTATGAATTTATGATAGATAGTTTGGTTGGCGTTTTGTTCATTTTTTTTTATTTTTATTTTTTTTAATCTCTTGTGATCTTTTGAGGGTGTAAATTTATTTAAACCTTGTGGTGTTGGAAACGTTTAGATTTTTGTTTTACCCCTAGGATTTAGATGATGAAATATTGATTGGGCTTTAGTTCTAATTTAATATTTAATTGTCCAAATTTTGGAGTAGTTCTGGGATGGGTGACCCACTGAAAATAACAAATCCGTGCGGGCGTGGCCCAAAGCGGATAATATCGATGACATATGGAGGGTTGAGACGTTATAGATGATATGATTCAAAATGAGTTAAAAGTTGTGAAATGACTTTCAACCATCTTCTCTACATTATACATATATAAAACAATAAGTCTGTAAACTCAGATTTATTCACCAAGATATTTTTACAATGAATAATTGTGTAGGAGAGATTAAATTTATATAAAACTATTTTGATAAACTGGTTAAATTTATATAAACTATAATACTTTTTCACAGTTTTACCCAACGGCGTGGATGTAAAATGTATACCTATTATGATCCCTGCCCATAAATGCAAGAAAAGGACATATCATCCTCTACGATTAAAAACTGTGGCGAGCTCGGTTCGTTGTCCGGTCCCCGCCCTACAGCCCCCATCTCCAATCCCAGTACCCCCTTTCTCACGCCTACGGTTCCCACCCCATCACGGGCCGGTTATCTCTTTCTCTCTCTCTCAAGCTAGCAGCGAAGCAACGTTGCTTTCGCTGCACTTGAAATGGCTAAGAACCCAGAAGCAATCTTTTAAAGAGAGACAATGAGAGAGAGAGAGAGAGAGAGAGGCATTGTAGCACCGCATAGAATTCTTCAGGAGGGTAGTGAAGAAGATTACTCTACAATTGTCAAGTACTGAGATTGGCGCTTTGTTTTTCCTAGCTAGTCCTCACCTTCCATTTCTGTTCTTCACTTGGTTTTCTAAGCTCACCGGACCGGAAGTGAGAAGTTTGTTTCCAAATTTGTTGATAAACGGTCTTGGAGGTGTGAATTGGTCGAGTTTTTGGTTCGTTTTGGTTCCATTGCAAGCAATTTGATGGAGCGAATTTCTGGTACTGAAATTAGATCCGCGAGCTGCGGAGAGAAAACTGAAGAAATCGGAGTCGAATCGCTGCAATTCGGTGAAGAAATTCAGAGACTAATGGCGGCGCCACCGGAGGCCGGCAGTTCCTTCACTGCTCTTCTGGAGCTTCCGGTGAACCAAGCCATGGTTCTCTTACACTCGCCGGAAACCAACAAAACTCCGGCGAACGATCGAATCGATCATCGCCGTCTCAATTGCACTCTCACATTCCCCTCCAACACCGCCCTTCTCGAACGAGCCTCCAGGTTCTCAGTCTTCGCCGCAGATAAATCACTGGAGACGAGCTCAATTCCCTCCAATTCATGTCCCAACTCGCACAAAGTCAAACAAGAACCGGTCGATTCGGATTCAAACACCAATTCCTCTCATCCAATTGTTCCCAACCACAATAAAAAATCAACAAAGCGAAAAGAGCCAGAGAAGAACAAGGTATTACCATGACTATTACTATTACTATTACTATACTAGTTCCAATTAGGATTTCTAGAGTCTCTTTTGTGGTTAATTATCACAACTATAATTAAATCACTCTATTTGTTCTTGTGAAATTAGGGAAAAGGGTCTTGGAAAAAGAGCAAGCAAAAGCGTCGCAAATGAGGCCTCCGATGACGGCGACAAGCTTCCTTACGTTCACGTCCGAGCTCGTCGCGGCCAAGCCACAGATAGCCATAGCTTAGCTGAGAGAGTACTTACTCATCTCCATACTAAAAAAAACCACTGTTAATTTATCGCTAATTACGTTATTTATAATTAATTAATGCTTAATTATAGGCTAGGAGAGAGAAGATTAATGCCCGGATGAAGCTATTGCAGGAGCTGGTCCCCGGATGTAACAAGGTCAGTCTATTTATTTTTTACAATAAAGAAAAAAAATATCAACGGACTTTATTTTTATGTGGATCTATCAACCAAAAAACAAAAAAAGTTATGATTAGTTTTGTTGAATTTTTGGATTATGTGATGACAATATGTCTAGATTTGATACGCAAATGTGCAATTATATCTTTGGTTAGGCTTTTAATAAGGGTTATGTGTCATTGTCACCTTTTTAGTATAATGGTCGTCCCTTTTACACCAAGAAAAGTGTCAAGCCTGTGGTGGAAGTGGTAGTTTTGTAGGCTTCGAAATTAAAAGAAAGTAATAAAATAAAATGTCACATTTAAATTATAATTATTTTGATTTTTCTTTTACAAAAGGTTTAAAAAAATCAAAAAATTGTTTCCAAATGAACTTTTTAGTTTCAAGTTAAAAAAGTCTCAACTTCAAAAAGCCAATTAAAAAAGTTTTTACCAAACAACAGCGTAATTCCATTGTTTTCTCTACTTTCTTTTTTCCTTGGGTTTGTTAGGAGTCCTTTTTAAGGTTATTTTTGTTATTTGATTCATTTTGAATGAGTGCGACTACCCCCACAACACAAGTAGACAGGGAAAATGATTTGAGTATAATAGTGATATCAAATCATCGCTATTATTATTCAATATATTTTTGTCATTTACCTTACCATGTAAATTAGGCAAGGTAGATATTCTTTGAAAGTGGGGTTCACTTGCCATATGTACACTTATTGTTAGTTGGTGATATCACATCATCAGTATCACAGTGATAGTAAATATTTACTCACAAGAAGGCATGTCTATTTGTCTGAGTGTGTACTATAATAATAGTTTCTTCATTTCTACAATTGATTGTCTAATCCCTGTCTAATGCTCTTCATATATAGCCAGAGAGGATAAGATGACACGAAACGGTTATGCTATTATCTGCTTGTTGAAACTCCATTTGTGATGAGGCTAGGGAAAATGCTTAAAAAAAACTTCAAATGTCTCTCCAGTTGAAGATGCTCTTGGATAACAGTTTTTTTTTTTTTTCCCTCAAAATATGTTTTTTGTTTTTTGATTCAGATTTTTGTGACTGTGACGGCTCTGTTTGGTATAGCTTATAAGTGTTTGTAACAAATTAATATAAGTTGAGAAAAGTTAATTATTATAAAGCCGAGACGTAGGTCAGTTTTTAACTTGGCCTAAGGTAAAAGGTATTACTTATATATGAAATGAGACAAATGCCCTTCTTGGGTAGGCTTGGGAACAACTAGTTGCCCTTAGGAATTACGTGTATGATGGCTCTGTTTGGTATAGCTTATGAGTGTTTGTAACAAATTAAAATAAGTTGAGAAAAGTTAATTATTATAAAGCCGAGACGTAGGTCAGTTTTTAACTTGGCCTAAGGTAAAAGGTATTACTTATATATGAAATGAGACAAATGCCCTTCTTGGGTAGGCTTGGGAACAACTAGTTGCCCTTAGGAATTACGTGTAATGTGCAAGCTAAATGGATGTCTATGACTCTTATGGGCCCCATGTACTGGAGATATTTTTATTTCTTCAGTTGTGATTCAAAGTTTTATACAGGACCCATCTAAAAAAAAATGTGTTACAGGCAACCTGAGAGGTCTATGGTACAAATATTTCATAGAAGTTGGGCATCAATTGCATATGGTTCCACAGAAGAGCACTTCTCACAAAAGCATTTGCTGACAACCCATGCCAAACTGTAACAATACGATGTGATTGTTCACAACCACAACCAAATGAGCAAACGATACAAAAAGACTAGTGCCTCACTTCTTTTGGATGATGAAAGAAAAAAAAAATGATTGTGGTATCTTGTATAGGTGAGAAAGGAAAATAAATAATTGTGTTTTCTCACTATTAGGTTTGGATGAGTGAGAAAGCAAAGCCACTGTCTTGTCCCCCGGGACCACTGATCATAATGTTTTCAAGATATGAAAGTATGCTTGATCTGTGTGGTTGAAAGGTTATCAACGTGAAAGCCTTCAACTCTAATTTGCCTCCACATAATGGTACTACACATTTTTTTGGCAATCAATTGTACATATACAAGGCTTTACATAAGGTAGGATCTACATGCAAATTTCAGTTAGATCCAAGGAGTCAACAAATACAATTAATAGTGTGCTCTTTGGAAATATCTACCCTAATTTTGGGGGTCAGCTGTCGTCACCCCTCCAAAACTTGGATGTTTGTTGTCCCAACCATTTTTGTTAATCCCGAGCCTGCTAAGGAAGGTGGTAATATTTCATTGCCAAAATAGTTTCAACTTTGTTTTTTCCTGAGTGCCCACACTTCTGAAATTAAATCTCCTGACAAAGTTAGTTGCTCAAATTCATTCTTTAAGGTGGAAAAAAAAAGAAGAAGTGATTTTCAGTTTTTATCGGGTGTTTTACATGTTACGGTTTATGAATTTATTTTGAAATCAAATTGGTGGTTGGACCCATCTTTGCATCTATATAAAAATTTGTTAGGTGTTCTGATTGAAGAAAACTAGGGGACCACTTGTTAGCCTTCCTCTTAAGATGATAATGTAATTACTTATTGGTATAGTTGACCTGCAAATGCCTTTTTTCATGCAAAGCATCAAAACTGCTCAACTAAGGGAAGTTCTGTCCTTTCTCTATTCAAGGAGCTGACCTTTGGAAGCATGACAGAAAACTTGCTGTGTCCACTCTTTATGTTTCATCTTTTTAGGTTAGAAAAAGTTGAAAAAAATCAGGTGTTTATTTGAAATCAGTTTCAATGCATTGATAATTCACATAAAAATTGAACTGATTGAAATGTTTCAAGTTGCATAAGCATCTTCATCTCTGTATTGAGAAATGATTGCTCTTCAGATTTCGGGTACAGCTATGGTGCTGGATGAGATTATTAACCATGTACAGTCCTTACAACGTCAAGTGGAGGTAAGGCCAACACATCATTATTTTGCATGTTCTTTTGACAATGTACAAAACAGTTTAAATCTTGGATGGAATTACTGTCAGAATATGTTCAATGAAGCCAAAAATTATACTAAAGCAAAAGATTAATGTTTTATTTTTGGAATTCAGATAATGCTAGTTTTGGAATTGCTGTCAAAAGATGAGAAGATTTCTTTTCTTTACAAAAATTATGAAGCTAATATATTAAGGAATAGCCCTGGAAAATGGGAAAAAAAACTTCATGATCATTTGGCAATCTCCAAGGAGCTTCAATCATATTTCTTCTGTTGCTTTGATCTTCTTCTGATTGAGCATTTTTTTTTACCTCAGTTCTTATCAATGAGACTTGCAGCTGTTAACCCAAGAATTGATTTCAACCTTGATAGTCTATTGACTGCAGAAGTACGTATTACACAACCATCTTTCATAATTTTGTGCTAATACTAGACTCTAGCCAATTTTGTGTTGCTTTCAATTGCTTATTCAGTAATAATAATAATAATGACAATATTTTACCATCTAGCTCTGCCTTGGTACGAGGTGGCACCCATGGCATCAACTTCTCAAAGCACCTTTTGTTGCTAACATCCTAAATAACATCCAGGATAAATTACTAAATTTATCTGCACTTACTTAACTAGGTAGATTGGGAAAATATAGGCCTTGTTAAAAAATTTGTTTGGTTGAAAATTTTTGAAAAAAAAAGTTCTAAAATCACTTTTCTCTATACTACACATCAATCAATCACTTTTTCACTCTCCTCTCCTCTCACATACTACACATCAATGAATCACTTTTTCTCTCACACCTATCAATTCAATTACAAAAAAAATTAAATCACCGTAGACTCCAAAACTCCAAAACTATTTTCAAAACATACAACCAAACAAATTTTCAAATTTTGTAAGCTCTTTTCAGAAAATTATTTTTGAAAATTGTTTCACAAGTACAAACCAAACATGGCCATAACTTTTTTAGTGCTCGTGTAACTCTATTTTGCAAGGTGGCCTACTCAAGATTTCAAAGGACAGTTCTTTATTGCCGTTGTGCATCGTTGTAAAATTCGTAATCATATTAAGTCAAGAGTGTCAAATGAAACCATGTGTTGTACGGGGAAGCAAGTCCTCCTTTAAAGCTAGTTCATATCAGCCTGAATAACCAGAGTTATGGCAATTGCCATTCATTGGTGCTGCCAAGCTTCACATGTTAATAGACCATGTCCTGAACAAGTTGAGACACTACTCAAGTTTATATTCATTGTTGACAACTATTATTTCACTTAACCTTTTAAAATTTGTAGATTGGAGCTCCAATGGACAGCAATTTCCTGAGCATGGTTATGCCACATCAGTGGCCAGAAGGACAAGTCAACGGGAACAGACAACAATATCAACAGTTATGGCATTTTGATGGACTTCATCCGCCAGTTTGGGAAAGAGAAAACAACCTCAACTTCGTTACTCCAGAGATCTCATTAATGAGTTCAGGTGAATTTCATGTCAACACTCAGTTTCTGCTCCATTCCTTTTCTACTTTTCCCTGTTTTGATACTGAGCAAATGAGAAATTCTTTCCATAGAGAATTTCATTATCCAACAAAAGGTGAAAAGACTCCGCATCTAATGAACGGGGAACATGCAAACCCTAGCAGTCTAATTCCTATTTCTCCTCAAGAGGAGATGAGAATCCCCTCAGTAGCACCCTGCTCAGCTAAGAAATAAGCCTAGCTGATCAAGAAATCTGCCTTATGTCATCCTCCAAGATGGCATACAAGTCCCCAATCTAAGTTCACTGTTCACTTAACCCTCTATAAGTCTATACTATCGATGCAAGACGGCTATTACCCCACCATCAGATTCTTGCACAGCACGCATTGATATTATAATTTTTGGGGGGAGTTTCAAAAGCACAATAGAACTATTTCTTTATTCTGGTATCTATTGATTTCATAGTTACATAATGTGTTCCTTGTTTTTACCCGTAGGTAATCACATTTCAAGATTTAGCATTTCATTACAACTAAAAGACACTGAAGGAAAAACACAATGGGAATTATCGCTAAAATGATACTATGCATGATCAAATATATCATGGCGAATTCTTAGAAAAAAATTGCCTTGTACAATGGAATTTGATAAGTGAGATTTCAAGTTAGTGTTTACATAATCTTCTTTTGTCCGAGTTGATTTTACTTCATGTGTATATAAACAAAGAAAGCTAATGCTGTGCTTGTCAATCAAGGTAGATGGAATATAAAGGTATTTAATCAATTGATTCCAGGTTTCCAGTTATGTTGCACTCAGTTATAAGTGATTTCTTGTTTCTTGTTATTATGTTGTTCTTGTAAATTTTTTTTTACATAATTGGATTTTCTGTGACCTGTCTTCTCTTGGAAGGGAATAACTTTGGAAGTGTAGAACTAATTTCGAATCTTTATGTTGTCTCAGCATCTCAGAACTCAAATCAGCTCAAAATGGAGCTATGAAGATGGACTGAAGGTCCACCAGTAGCTAGTAGTGTATATATCGGATGTAGTATTAGTAGCTTGCAGAGAAGTAGAGAGGAGGCCTTGACATTCAACTCGGGTTTCCATGCCTTCTTTTCACTAGTCAGTTGGAAATCCAGATTCATATCTCAGCTGGAGAGGAGAAAATCCAGTATGTTATTGTTATTGCCCCCCCACATATATATATATATATATATCTTAAGAATGTCATTCAATCTGGTACTACATGTATGAAAAGATTGGTTGTCATAATACTGTAAAAACATAGGTAAGCTATGCCTTTGAACTATATTATGGAAGTTGGCCTTTTTGTTCAATGTGCATTTCCCTTTTTGGATATTGGCATCTCTTATATAAATGTCTGGAAGCTATTGTGTTTATGCATGTTACTTTCCCGGCTTTCTACGCTGATTGAAAATAATTATTCACTTCCTCTGGCCATTTTGAAGTCTGTTGATGAACTCCATGACAATAGAGAAGCTAGTTCTTGGCAAGCTTGGCTGTAGAACCTAATGCATGTTAGTTTTACCTTGCTTGGATCATTCATTAGTGTTATGTTTGGTTCTAGGACTTGGTGAGGAAAAGGAAATGAAATTATTGTTTCAATTTTTTGTGGGTAATGAGAAGCAAAAGAACTAGTAGATTTTTTTCCCTTCAGTTTTGTTCTTTTTTACAGTAACCTCCCTTGAGGTTATTGATAATGACATAAACATTCCCTTACGTTACAGAAACGACATTAACCTCCCGTCAGATTTGTGGACTGAACAGAGTTAACCGAAAATGACATTTTACTATTTTACCCATACATTCCACTGAACATATTTTTATATAGAGTTAAAATTGTAAACCCATTTTTTTTCCACTACAGTACTCCTCATCTCCCTTCATCACAAACGCATTTCTCTCTTTCCTCTCTTCCTCACGGGCCGAATTCCAGCACCGCCCCCTTTATCTCTCAATCTCTAGGCATTTGATTTTATACCATAGACTATTTGCACATAGGGTGCATATCTATATCATTAATGGGTGCATCAGCTATGGTGGTAGTTGTCACCTCACTAATTTGAAGACACAAGATTCAATCTGTGATGGAACCAAGATTAAACACTTGGTCTCAGCCAATTCACTAACAATTGATAACTTATCTTGTGGATACCCACGAATACCCGACCCAAATATGTAGTTTTTTCGCTATTTTCTTGCCCATCAAGTCATGTAGGTGAAGTTCTTTAAATCTCCATCGGGGATGGGTCAGGGATGGATACCTGCCCATTTTCCCCACATAAAAAAGGAATTTTTGATGAAAAGCCCCTTCTATGGAGGCTTTTTTGTGTGAAGCCCACCGAATAAAATAATAGTTTCAAAAGTCCCTCAAATAAAAAAATATGATGAAAAGGCTGAAATGCCCTTCCATATAATCCAAAACCCTCACTGAACCATTTCTCTTCTTTTCTATCTCTACATTACTGATATCCTCTCTCTTCCCTTTATTTTCTCTCTTTCTAAACCCTAAACCCTTTTGATCTCCATTTTTATCCATCTCACAAAATCAAAATCTTGAAATCGTCCATTGAAATCCATCACCATCTCAGATTTGATGCCTATGAACTCATGTTTGAGATCAATAATTTCAGATCTGAGATAAAATGACCTCATATATGCCAAAAAAATGATAAATTGATATATTACAATAAAAAATCGAGAGTTTTTTGTTTGTTTGTTTGTTATAGATTTAAAGTAAAATTCGACTATAATTCATTTATCTAGTATGTACTTTGTTTTTGCAATAGTAAAATTTACTCTGGTTAATGAAAAATAAAGTTTATTCTCTTATGCATAGACAAACATTCAACAACACAGTAAAATTTTACTTTAAGATTCAGAGTAAATTTTACTCTGAAATACAGTAAAATTTACTAGAAAACAAATCAGAAACTGCATAGACAAACATTCAACAACACAGTAAAATGTTACTTTCAATTCAGAGTAAATTTTACTCTGAAGATTTAGAGTAAATTTTACTAGAAACAAATCAAAAACTGCATAGACAAACATTTAACAACACAGTAAAATTTTACTTTGAAATAAAGTAAAATTTTACTTGCATGTTAAGAAAACAGAACAGATAACACCAGAGTAAAATTTTACTCTCATTTTATTAAACAAAAACAGAGCACATACCAGAGTAAAATTTTACTCTCATTCTGTCAAACAAAAACAGAGCGCAAACCAGAGTAAAATTTTACTTTCATTATGTCAAACAAAAATAGAGCACACACCTGATTAAACTCGGCAAATCAACAAAAACAAATAAAAAATAACAACAGATTTATACAGCTTTGCAACATAATCTCTCATTTAATTGAGAGTGTTGATCTTTGATGGCGAGATTGTGTATTGTTGACCAAGGTGAGATCGTCGGCAGTGAGATCTTCAGACTTTGAGATCGTCTTCATGGATTTCGCAGATCATCTTCACTTCACAGATCGTCTTCAAGATCGATGTATGCATGAGCTGAGATTGTTCAAACATATGATATATATATATATATATATATATGAGGACAATATGGTCAAAAAAAACAAAAACAAATTATAGAATGTCCTTATTGAGTTGAGCTTCTCTTACTCAGGTGTTTTTTGAAGGAGAATTCATTAAGTTGTCCTTTACCTAAAAAAAAGGGCCCAAAAAAGGGATTTCACCAAAAATCCCAATAAATAAAGTTGTGCTTTCTTACACACTTGGTCAACTTTCCCTTTCACTGTGCATCTCCTCTCTCTCTCTCTCTCTATATATATATATATATATTACTGTGTTTATTATGTATGTATGTTGTGTGTGCATATACAGTTAAATTAATGGAATTGTTAAAGATAAGATTATATTGTTAAAGATATCAAAATATATGGAGATTCCATGATTTGTGGTTATCATGATTTTTTGTATCTTTAATTTATTTCATTCCACACACACACACACACACACACACACACTCTCTCTCTCTCTCTCTCTCTCTCTACGCTTTAATCGATCAATCGTAGCCTCAATTATTCTATCTCTCTCTCTCTCTCTCACATTCTGAACTATCTCGATACTGATCCATTACAGTTCAATTGATCTATTTTGTGCCTGGTTTGGTTTCTTGGGCTCACAATCTACCTTTCTCTCTCTCTTTAATATTGATCAATTCTATTTTTTTTTTTCGATTACTAAAAATTTATTTGATTGCCCCAAAATTATATATTTGATTATTTTAAAACAATTTTTTAATTAATTAATTAATGTGTATTTGATTTTGTTGTTGAGTCAAATAAAATTGAATATATATTTAGCTTTGGTTGTGAACGTTTTAAAAAAAAATGAGGGGGGGTCAAGTTGGGTTGGAGAAAATCCAAACCCATTAAGAGATGGAAAGGGCAGTACCCATAGGAGATCGGAAATAGGGAATGGGAAAAAATTATTATAGAGGAATGGGAATGAGAAATTAATATTCACAGTCTATTTATCCCACAAATTGCCAAATAAAGGCTGATTCACTAGACTTTAAGTTGCCACCTAATTTTTTTAAAAATTAGGAAACCCTAACTTCATTTTAATGTAAGCCACTGGCCCGTAGCAACCATACTTCTTAGTCTGAGAGTTTAGATACGAAAGAGGAAGGTCATTGATTGAGTATCCTTTTTCACCTACTCTAAAGTATTGGCCTATACTAGTTCTTTTATGAGACTTCATTTTAATGTAAGCCACCAGCCCGTAGCAACCATACTTCTTAGTCCGAGAGTTTAGATACGAAAGAGGAAGGTCATTGATTGAGTATCCTTTCTCACCTACTCTAAAGTATTGGCCTATACTAGTTCTTTTATGAGATTCATTGTCAAACAAGTTCACATCCCAATTATTAATATTGCTAGATTTTCTATGCGAAACATACAACAAATCGAATTACTTATCTTAGAATGCTTTCATTCTCCTATAGTTTTGGAAATAGATTGTTTTAAAAAGCGTTTCAAAAGAAAAAGGAAACCCTCTTGTCATGAAAGACGAAAGTAATCCCAACTTAAGCAAATGACTTCCAAACAATGGCACGTATTGCAAGTAATCTCATGGAAGCATGCTATCTATAGAAAATGTAGCAAACATATACAAAATGCAAAAGCCAAGTTAATATTACGAATGTATGACCCTAAGCATTCGGAAACTAATGAAAGAACTCATAGCATGCAAATCTATAGGCCTGGTCAGCATTAAAGTGACATATGAAGCATTTTAAACATGAAACTCAACTAAAACAACATAGATGTAGCAATATATAATCTCAAAAGTGATGAAAGGGAGATATAGGGTTAGGGGCCCTATTTATACGACTATGGGAGATATAGAGTCAACAAATATACATACATATATGTACACGTGTTAACTCATTCCAACCATTGGTGAGGGACCATAGTGAGAGACATCTCATCAGACAGTTGTAATCTGCGGTGGCACATCTGCACTTGTGACCACAGATCCTCATGTGTGGTCATACCTTTCGAAGGCATCCAAAGGCTACAACCGCCTATTGTGGCCAGTCCTATTGGTTTATTGCTTCTTAATCTGCAGGTCTGTTGACCTACGAGTTCTCCTATGACCTACGAGCCTCGTGGGTTTTCAGCCTTTTTTTCCAGGTGATTCCACCTCTTTTCATAGTTTAATCTGATCCTGGTTTATTTTTAAAAGAAACTCAAATTTTGATTTTGAAAAGAAAATTTTGGACCGATTGAACTTGTGAAGCAATGGTTCAATTTTTTATGATATTTTTTGAAAATTCATTTTTAAAGGTTTAAAATATTTTGGCTAAAGAGGGGATTGGTTTGAGTTTGGGGACTCATCATTCCATCATTCATTTCGAGAAGATGTAAGCATTCACTTTGTTTTCATCATTAAGGAGCATCAAATATGCCAAAGATTTAGGGCCGGTCAAAATAGGGTATTTACACCTTGCATTTGTTATGTCATCCACACTTGTGCATTGATTAAGTGTTGCTACCATGCAGACATTTTCATGCTTCCACCTTACTATCTAGGCATGCCTCCCTTATGCCATGGTCCAGTTGACATGGGTGCAAGGTGTCAACGCAAGCCAACCATGCAACCTTCAAGTCTAAGGTGCTAACAAGCCACTTCTACGAAAAGAACCCAATGTTGTTGTCGGTAGGGTTTGTAGACAATTTTGGATTTGTTTCTCGAACTACCACAATGTGACATCCTTCTCCCAACTATAACATCAGAATCAGACAAGCCTTTCCATTTCACTAAGTAATGGATCTTCCTATTCTTCTTCCTCTTGCCCTCCATAT